AGTTTAAGATTTTGCTCTACTTCATCTGAAAGTAGGATCAAGCAATTGTTTTTGAAACATTCGCTTTAATTTGCTACGTATAAACATATGTAACATTTTTCTTTCTTAATGAAGTGGAAACTTCCTCTCTTCATCTGAAAACTGAATCTAGCTTTCAGCTTCATAAATACTTTGTACTGGTTTGTGCAGACCAAACTCTGTGTGTGTGTGTGTGTGTGTGTGTGTGTGTGTGTGTGTGTATCAATGAACAGCACAAAGGGCAAACTACCACTTTATTAGTACACACCTGAACACATGGAGCTGCCTTACACTGAATCAGACCCTTATTTACTCAGGCTGGCAGCTGCTCTCCAGAGTCTCAGGTAAACATCTTTCACATCACCTACTGCCTGGCCCTTTAAACTGCAGATGCCAACGACTGAACCTTGCCCATGCAGAGGAAACAATAAATTCTTCAGCATGCAAACATCTTTTCTCCTGTTTGAGCTCTAAGATATGCAGTGCACTAGGAACCGGGTGTTGGACTAGGAACTGGGAGACCCAGGTTTGAATCCCCACTCTGCCAAGCAAGCTTGCTGGGTGACCTTGAGCCAGTCACACATTCTCAGTCTAACCCAGAGCTGCTGAAGTCATTTGTTATGAGAGCTGGATCTGACATAAATATCACTTCATTGGGCCAGGCCATGCGTGCCATAAAACATAATGCCAGGTACTGGAGATATTTTACCACTGACCATGACACATACCTTCCTCAACAGAGCTTGGGACCAAACCAGCCCTCCTCCCCCCTTATGGTCTCCAACTCTAGGTTGGGCAATCCCTAGAGATCTGGGGGAAGACCCTGGGGAGGGCTTGTGTTTGGAGAGGGTAGGGACCTCAGCAGGGGGGTGGCTGACAACTGGGAGCAGGCCACTGATGAAGTGGAGAGACTAGAAGACAAGAAGCAGAGACCTGAGAAAATGGGATGGCATTTTCCATCCCCCACAAGGTCTCCCACTCATATTTATTAAAATATTTATATGCTGCTTTTGGCATGATATCCCCCCATACAGTTTACAAAAACCATACAACTAGATAAAACCATGAATAAAAACAATATAAAAACAATATTAGAAACCAGCTAAACAATACACAGTGGTCCAGCCCAAACAGAAGTCCATTAACACAATTCAACTTAATGTAAATGCCTGTCAAAGAAAGGAATGTTTATACTCTTCTCCTTAATCTAGGAGAGAAGTTGCCAGGTGTGCCTTACAAAGGCAGGCATTCAACAGTTTTGACGCTGCCACACAGAAGGGTCTGTCATGTTTCTCCATCACACTTCCGTGAGCAGAGGGACACGTAGCAGAGCATCATCTGACAACCTTAGTGCATGGGCAGGTTCATATTACCAAAGACAGTCCTGCACACATCTTGGACTCAGCTTGCTTAGAGCTTTAAAGGACAAAACTAAAATTCTGAATTGGAACTACCAATGAAGTTGATACAAAATAGGTATAAATATGGTAACTGTGCCTTACCCCAGGACACTGCATTTTGAACACACTGCATTTAAAAATAACTTTTCAAAGGAAATCCCACATAATAGATTGTTAGAACAGTCTAATCTAGAAATTACCATAGTATGTGTCACTTAAGTCTTTGCTAGTAGATGCATGGGAAGAGACTTCCCTCATACTTCGCAGGAAAGGACCATTAAAGCCTGTTTTTCCTTTTCTAGGTTGATTGAGCCATCTGCTACCTAGAAAAGGAGGACAGACTTTAGCTCAGGTATAGCACCACTCCACAGGAATCACATGTAGGTACCAAGGTGCATGGACTCATACCTGAAGCCCTGTGTATGCAAAATAAGCATACCAGATTTGATTCACTGCACCCTGGTACCTATAGGTAGCCAGAGAGTGCAAAACTTTTATGTAATCCTGTCACATGAACAATTCGAACTATACTGACAGGCCTTATATGTATGTATATGATGTCAAGTCACAACAGACTTATGGTGACCCCAGCAAGGCAAATGAGAAGCAGACGTGGTTTGCCATTGCCTTCCTTGGTGCCTCCCCTCATCCAAGCATTGATGCTGCTTAGCTTTCGAGACCTGACGAGACTGAGCTGTACCATACCATTCCACATCCCATAAGCCTTATAGGACTGGTCTAAATGAAAAATACTGTTCTGATGCATTATATAATTGTCCCTTATATATCCTAATCTTCCTTTACCGTCTGCAACGAAAAAAAGTCCTTCTCTGTTCATCCCAGATCAGCTACGTACAGATTCCTCTACCCCATGATTTTCACTGGGCAGAAAAGAAAGTAAGCAATATAAAACTTGTGCAATCAGATATTGCTGACCGAATAAAATACCTGATATTTCTAGTATCAGATTGGATTGTGCAGAAAGGCACTCCCAATATTCCCAGTTCTGATATTTCACTCCCATTAAATATCAGAATTGGAAATCGTGTCCAGGGGCCAGAAGGAGTGCTGATTCCAGGTGGTACAACCCATTGACAGAGTGGTCCTTGGGCCAATGTACTATAGACCAGCTGGAGCGCGCTTCCTCCCTCGCTACCGACTTCTCCTGCTGCCTCAGTGGGGGGCAGCACTTCAATGCAGGTACTTCAAAAATGGTTTTAATTCCATTTTATAGTTCTCAAAAGGGCATGATAGTCGTTTTCACTCAGTCTGGGAAGTACTGATATTGTTCCGCTCTTCTGATATGACTTTCCAGTACAATAATGGTACTCCTGATACTTAAAGAAAATGTTAATCACACCCTTCTTGAATTTCCAATATCAAATTAATCGTTTTTTAAATGCACACCCCTACTTGTGGCTGGTATCACACCTCTAAAAGCTATTCCTAGAGACTCTGTAACCTCACAGTGCAGCACTGTGGAAATTCATCTGCGATCAGTCAGAACCAGGAAATCTTCTTTAGGTAAAAGCACTGACAAAGCAAATCTAGCCCATGGTCAAATTCCATTCGTTTTTCCATATTCCAGAAGAGTCATGTTCCCTAACATAAGTTTGCTTAGGATGCTACATACTCACAAATTCCAGAAGTACATAAAAGCCTTATGTGTTCTTACAAGTTTGTTGTTTGCAAATTCCTGCCATTTGCTAACATTTTAATTTATACGGTATACACTTTAATGTTGTCTTTTTTTACAAATGAAAGCTTATGGTATTGTTTCCAAAAGAACAGATCACCATCCTACTCCAGGGAGGAAAAAACAAGGGGCAAAGATCAACTGCAACTCAAACAAATGATTTGTTATTTCGCCGTGATGAAAAAGTTAATGCTATTTTAAAAAAACCAATGAGTTTGTGGGCAATGTTCCCTCTAAGCTGTGGAGTCTTGTGAGCAAAAATTCTACTCTGTGAGCTACTGGCATTAAAGTTGTGAGCAAGTGATTTGGCTACTCCATAAATTAGTTTGTTTGGAGCCATCCCTCCTGAGCTGAGACAAAAATCTGTGAGTCAGAGGCTAAAAAACTGTGAGCTAGCTCACACGAACTCAGCTTAGAGGGAACACTGTTTGTGGGTAGCCTTAGGAGGGTGCCACTAGGCTTTTTTTCACTCAAATGAACAGAACAATAGGCAGAATGAACTTTGGTCTCGGAGTAACTGGCCCTAATTGCTCTCTCCAGTTGAACAACAACAATTGTATTTTAGAACCAAATCTGTTGGGATGGTGATAAACATAGATGTGCCCCAGTCTCACAGAAAGAGGAAGTTTGAAGGTGTTGGTTGTTAGCAGTTAAACAGCCTCACACAGCTGTGTGAAGTGCAGAACTCTTCCCTCCTCCCCCAGCCTTCCACTAATATCCTCTATCTCTGACGGGACTTTTTCCCCCAGTGGAGGTCACCTCTAGGACCAGAATGCGGCTTGACAAAACAAGAAGCACCTAGGGAGAGGGACAGGCAAACAGGAAGGCTGCTGCCCACTTTACCCACATGCCCCTTTTCGTTGTTAAAAATGGGATGCACCTTCTTCTTTAGGGCTTCCAGGTCCGGGTTGAGAAATACCTGGAGATTTTGGGAGAGGAGCCTGAAGAGGGTGGGGTTTGGGGAGGGGAGGGACTTCAGTGTGGTACGATGCCATAGAGTCCACCTTACAAAGTGGCCGTTTTCTTCAGGTGAACTGATCTCTGTCACCTGGAGATCAGTTGTAATAGCAGGAGATCTCCAGGCACTACCTGGAGGTTGGCAACCCTACTCTTCTTTCTATATGCTGAGTTTAAACATTCAGACCTACCATCATCACGTCCAGTTTATCCATCTAAAGGAAACCTTTCCTAAAGTCACTTAGCAGCACATTAACTTCCTAGATTATACCGTTATGTAGCATCCACCACCTCAATTAACTAACAAAGGCTGTGGGCACACAGGCAGGAAAAAGTGGGGAGGAAGCGTGGCTGTTTGCCCCAGGGCTAAATAACGTGCGGTTGCGCAAGCAGACCTACCATGGAGGTCCCATGGAGGTCCCGTGGAGGTCCCATGGTAGGGGGGAGGTGCCAATCACTCCACAGTCCTGCGGCGCAGCAAAGAACAAACGGGGTTGTTGTTTTTTTAAACTTAAATGTGCGCATGCTCCCTTGGGTGCTTGTGCGCATCTGTGGAGACTTTGAAAGAAAAAAACCTTTTTGCAAGGGGACATGGGCGGGCGCCGGAACTACCACCAGAAACGCAATCAGACGCCTGCCCTTGCCCCGCGGTTTCCGGAAACTAGTACCTCCGAGGTACTAGTTTTTTACCACACATCTTCGGTGGGAAGCCTCGGGTTCGCCACAGGAGCTCGACGCTTCCCAGATGTGGCGGTGAGATCGTGCCCAGAAAATCCGCCTATCTTCCGTCCCTCTAGTGTACCTAATGCTCCGTGTGACTGCAGCCTAACTAATATTAAGGCTTTTGCATCTCTTGATGGATAGCTGTTGATAGCCCTGTTTTATCAAATCAGAGTCTATTAAATAGATTATGAGCTCTGTGAACTTACTTTGCTTTGTCAATAAAGCTACAGGAACAGCAATGGCGGTAATGAGAACTGCGACTGCAAGAAATCCCAGCAGATATTTTGCCACAGTCTGGAAGCAAACAAACCAAAGTTAGAGGTACGTTGTGTATGTAAAATCCCATATATTTCCATGCATATTCAGCAGTGATAGGGAGCTCATGGCTGGTGGATGAAATCTAGTCCAACTAACCTACGGCCCAACTGTGCTCTTTTAATGAAGGGGTGTGTTTTTTTTTTGCTTCAAGGTCAACCTTCTTGTAGCCCTGGTTTTTCTCATGGCCTCTTTCCCAGCCAATATAATTCACTAAGTGGCCTGTGGCAATGAGTATCCATGACTTCCATCACGCTGCTACTGTAAAAGTTGAGACAGAACACTTGTAGAGTGGTGAAGCCACCTTGGATGCACCCTCTCTGCACTGAACTGTAACCTACCTTTCTTCTCTAGACAAGAATTCGAGGGGGGGGGCTCTCCAAGTCTGCAGCAGAAGACAGGTGAGCATGATATTCATTGGTTGGTTCTTTCTGATGCCACCAACGCATCTGTGCAGAACTACTTTTCACCTTTAAAAGAACATTTCCTGTCTTCTGACCTTTAAAATAGTTTGTTAAATAAATATAGTGGTGCGCAGGCTTCCTGAAGCATTAGGGAGCGGGGAAAGAGCTTTTGATTTATTGGTATGTCCCTCTGTCATTCAAACTGTAGAGTGAGCAAAGGCAGAAGGAAGTGCTGTTCACTCCACAATACACAAATCTTCCCATGGATTCTATTTTTATATGATCAGACAGAAGTCTACTGGCACCACGAAAATGACAAAATTTATTTCAGCCTCAGCTTCTGCAAGTCAGAGCTCGCTTCATCAAAGTGTACATGCATTAAGTGTACATTCATTTTTTAAATTTTTTTGCCATCAAGTCACAGCTGACTTATGGCAGTTTCAAGGCAAGAGATGGTCACAGGTGATTTGCTATCACCTGCCTCCGCATCACGACCCTGGTATTCCAAATACTAGCCAGGGCCAACCCTGCTTAGCTTCTGAGGTCTGATGAGGTTGGGCTATCCTGGGCTATCCAGGTCAGGGACACAGCCGTACACCATAGGATACATATTTATATTTAAAAGTTACAAGCAACAGAAAGACAGAAGCACAGAGATGTTACAAGAGTCTGAAACAATAACTATTCAGAAACACAGTAACTAATTAGAAAGAGAAGAGATTGGATTTATACCCTGCCCTTCCCTACCCAAAGGAGTCTCAGAGCAGTTTACAATCTCCTTTCCCTTCCCCTCCCCACAACAGACACCCTGTGAGGTAGGTCGGACTGAGAGAGTTCTTTCGAGAACTGCTCTTCAGAGAACAGCTCTGAAAGAACTTGTAACTGACCCACGGTCTCACCAGCAGCCGCATGTGGAGGAGTGGGGAATTAAACCCGGTTCTCCCAGATTAGAGTTCATGCTCCTAACCACTACACTAAACTGGCCCTCAATTAAACCAAAGTCCCCTCTGGCCTTTTATAATAGCCATTTTCACCATTCGCACAAAGAACAAAAATATCTGGTGGGGGGAGAAAAAGAAAAGTTGCCTCACAAGCAAATCTAGTTACTGATCACCAGTACACAGGTGTAACAAGCACGCTGATTCTGAAGTGTAATGTTCTAATAGGGATGGCCAGTGTAATGTTCTAATAGGGGTTGTAATCAAGAGAAAGAAAGGGCTACAATCTACATGGGAAGCCACTCTATACAAATAATTTCCCACTTGATGCTCATCTACTCTGGTCCTGTCCATACGAGGCCTTTTGGGCCGGGAGCGGGCCAGAACGGGGGCGGAGCAAACGGGCACGATCCCACGGCAACATCTGGGAATCGTTGCCTGCCCGTCCCTGTTCCATCCCAAACGGTGATACCGCGCTGTAAAAAAGAACCACCTAACTAAATGGTTGTATCCCTTCCAGCGCCGCAAGCCGGGCCATGGGATCGGGCGGCGCGTCCTTGTGCTGCCGCATCCCGGCCCCAGGCCGTACTGCGCATGCTCGAGCATGCGCAGTTCGGTAGCCTCCCCCTCCCATCGGACTTTCCTCCCCGGCATCTGATCGTGCCGGGGAGCAATGCGCCGTGGCTGAGGGGATCCGGCGTCTCAAGTTCGGTGCGGCTCTGCTTAGCCGCGTTTCAGCCGTCCCGTGTGGCAGCAGCCTCTGTTGCCATCTAAGCAATCACCAACTATACTGCACTGTGGGTCAGGGCTTGGGGACCCTTGCCTTAAATAGTAAAAAAATATTAGATATTGATAGTGCAATCCTCTACAGTGTCACTCTAGCCTAAGCAAACTGAAATCAACCGTCTTGGCTAAGACTGTGAGTCATGAAAAACCATCTCAGGGTCTTTTACCACCCACTCTAGGAGGGCTGAGCAGATGGATAAGGCCAATTAAGGTAGCTACTTGCTTTTACCAACAGGATGTTGGTTTAGAGGCTCTGCCACAAAAAACAAAACAAAAACAAAAAAACACCACCATCCAAATTAGGGGTCCCCAACCTTTTTAAGCCTGTGGGCATTCTGACAGGGTGGTGGGTGCATCTACTAAATGGCTGCTGCAGAACACAGAGCCAACCACACACGGGAAGCCCAACTGCAGGAACAAGCAGGGTAATTTAAAATATTCACTGGAAAAGAGAAGTGAGAGTGAATAAAACCAACACTACAGAGGTAGCTGCAACTGAATCAACACTATTATACTCTGAGCAGCCAATCAGCACTTTTGTGGTCAGTCAAAAACCCTACTGAGCTTTAGTCAGTGGAACTCGAAAAATAACAGTAGGACAAAAGAGAAAACTAGGAAATAAAAGGAAGGTATCCTGGTCCATCGAGAGATTAATACATTTATTATTTATTTCATGTGTGATGCTTAATAGAAATAAGGAACAAAAATCAAGACAGGCAGCTGAAAGTTTAAGAACAGTGTATTATATTAGGAATAAATTGAAACAGGTTAAAAATTGAAGAATATTAAGCCTTCTCAATGGTTTAAATGCTGGTTTTGGTTTCAGGAATCAAATCCTCCAGTGACTTGATAAACTATCTTTATATAATGTACCTACAAATTTATGTAACATAATAGTTATAATTGTGAAATTTGTTTTATATGTTGTATTGTTATAACTAATGTATTGTAATTTGTAAAAAACCTTTATTCTAATTTGTAGAAATGTTTAAGTCTGGTTGTATGTTTAACATGGTTAAAATAGTTAATATTGTTCCAGTACTGTTTATATATTTGTTTTTAAAGTTAGATATAATACTTTGTAGTAGGATTCTTTTTTTATCTCCCTACCCCTGGCTCCCTACCTCTCCTCCAGGATATGGCTACAGTGACCCATGCAATGGTCACTTCCAGGCTTGATTACTCTAACTCGCTTTATGCAGGCTTGCCTTTGCAGCTGATCTGAAAACTCCAGTTAGTGCAAAATGCAGCTGCGGTGCCTGTGCAGGTGCACATTCGGCTGGCGCTACACCAACTGCACTGGCTACCAATTTGAGTACTGGATCTATTTCAAGGTATTGGTGCTGACCTTTAAACTGACATACCTGAAGGACCACCTCTCCCCATATGTGCTGATCAAGACCTGCTGGTTGTCCCCGGCCCAAGGGATGTACGCTTAGCCTCAACCAGGGCCAGGGCTTTTTCTGCCCTGGCCCTGGCCTGGTAGAACATGCTCCCATCTAAGATCAGGGCCCTGCGGGACTTATTACCATTCTGCAGAGCCTGTCAAATGGAGCTGTTCTGCCAGGCCTTTCATCAAGGCGGCAGGCATCCAATAAAATCTTGCTTCCTCACTGCTGACGTTTACCATCTTTATGTGGCCCAGAATAAGAAAATGGCACCAGCTTGAAATCTATGCATACAAATACTGTGATCTGTTTTAATATATATTATTGTATACTGTTTTAATTGATTTAATATTTAATAATGTATTGTAATTTTTATGATGTCTTAACATAAGAATATAAGAGAAGTCAATGTTGGATCAGGCAATGGCCGATCCGGTCTAACACTGTTACGCAGTGGCCAAAAATACCAGGTGCCATCAGGAGATCCACCAGTGGGGTCAGTAGGACACAAGAAGCCCTCCCAATGTTGCCCCCCCCAAGCACCAAGAATACAGAGCATCACTTGCCCCAGACTGAGAGTTCTTATATATACCTTGTGGCTAATAGTCACTGATGGACCTCTGCTCCATATGCTTATCTAATTCCCTCTTGAAGCCGTCCATACTTGTAGCTGCCACCTTACCCAAACCATGTGTATATAAGAAAAACAGAGAGAAAGAATGTGCATGTATCAGTATCAACCTCTCCTTGTATATGCAGTTGGGGTACACATAAGCTCTTTCCATAGATGAATTAGTTCCTTTTTGGGGTGTGGTGACCAGAACTGTACACAGTATTCCAAATGAGGTCGCACCATTGATTTATACAGGGACATTATGATACTGGCTGATTTGTTTTCAATTCCCTTCCTAATAATCCCCAGCATAGTGTTGGCCTTGTTTATTGCAGTCGCACACAGTCTCAACATTTTCATTGAGTTATCTACTACGACTCCAAGATCTCTCTCTTGGTCAGTCTCTGCCGGTTTGGACCCCACCAGTTTGTATGTATAGTTAGGATTTTTGGCTCCAATGTGCATCACTTTGCACTTGGCCACACTGAACCCCAGTTGCCACGTTGACGCCCACTCCCCCATCCTCGACAGATCCCTCTGGAGTGCCTCACGATCCTCCCTGGTTCTCACCACCCTGAACCAATTTTGTGTCATCTGCCAATTTAGCCACTTCACTGCTTACTCCCAACTCCAAATCATTAATCATGTAATATGATTGTGTTCTGTGATCCACCCTGAGCCCGCTTGTAGGGACAGCAGAATATAAATTGAAACGAACAATCAATAAAAACTATTTTCCTAAAAAAAAATTTTCCTACTGGGCAAGAGTTCCACCTGGCCTCACCTATTTTCTAAAAACACTTGGGGGGAGTCAGAATCAGGAAAGGGGCTGATGGGTGCCATGGCACAATGCCAGGGACCCCTGATCCAATTCATTTTACAAATATATCATTTACTCTAACTTCAAGGAACCTTAGGCCATTGGGTTCCTTTTTGTTTGTTTTTGTTTTTCCAAGTTACTGGAAATAATGACTTCAGTGTAGCCTTATGATAATATTGATTTCTTCCAGTGAGCTCCTACAATATTTCATCCTGCTTTGGGATTTATGGCCATTGAAGGCAGACACCAGAAAACGGGTATGTAACCCATGGCACACATGCTGAACGGGGGCTTGCCAAACTATTTAGCTCACACAACAGCTCCTTGCAGGGGTGCAGTCAAGCTGGGATGGCTAGGTGTCTGAGGATATGATCCTTTCTTGTACAATTGTTTAAAATGAGAATTTGGAGTAAAGGTACTGCAAAGCACGGAAGATCAAATATAAACTCTCCCACTGCTACCTTTACTACCACAAGGACTTGGCTCACAAAGCATCTCTGAGGACCAGGCATTGCACAGATGCTATTTTCATCTAATGCAATCAGCTTCCTATGTGTGTGCATCCAAAGCAAAAAACCACTGCTTTGCATACTGACATTTCTAAAGCAGCGTTGCTTTTGTTTCATATTTCTATGCATGTGATACATGTGTCATATGCAGTCTGTCTGGCTCTTATTCACTCCCCACCCCTTTTTGGTCTGGCAGCACTCCAACAACTGCATAGGCAGACACCGAATTTTTTTCCAGCACCCTGTTCAAAAAGTTTGCCTACCCCTGCACCATAATATCAGCATAGTTCCAATCTGAATTGGTAAACTGTTGATTAAAACAGTGAACACATTTCCACATATAAGGTTTCACTTCTTTTTTAGTATTGTGTTTAGTGTTTAAACCTGTGTCTTATTGTCAGTGGTTGAAACTTTTTCAGTTAACAAACTGAACTAGGTTGGTGGTGCTTAAGATCACAGGCCTATGCAGCATTAGTATTGTCAGGAGGTCGCTCTCAGCCTCCTCCCGACTACGCAGGGAGTTACCCCCACTATACTAGAGAGGCCAGACCTGATGGGCCCCGCCCATTCCCGGGAGGGCCGGGAGCATTGGCCTGTAGACCTCAACGGGGTGTTGGTGCCTCAAAAGGGGGAAGAAGTGGGCGTGGGGGTGATTGGGCCCGTCGACAACTGGGCGACAGACGGAAGGAAGGTTGGGAGGTTAAGATGCCCTGAAGAAAAAGAAGAGAAATCAGTTTGTTGGTGGGATCACTTTAAGACTTGGGTGGTGGGTTCACGGGGTGATGTAAATGAAGCAAATAAAATGGCCAGCAGGTGTACCCAGGGAGGAGGAACATGTGGAGACTGCGAGAAAGACGGAGGGGAGTGATGTAACTCGTACTCATCTAGTAGCACACATGGCTGAAAGAGAGGGTGTATGACCTCTCAAACGGCAACTCTGAGGGGAAGCCAGGCCAGAGAGCTTCATAACGTTATGCTGGACGAACCCCACGATCCGAGCGAACCCTCACGACAACTAAAAGCTGACAAGTATCTAAAACCCTGGCAATATACTATGCACATTAGTCTATAACCCATGTGTACATTATCTGAATCTACTAACTGTGATTTCAATGTACATTCTCTGAATCTACTACGACACAAATTGTCTCAGGCTCATGATCTCTTTATGCCACCCCAAAGTAAGTTTGTTAGCCTTTTAAGGTGGCACCAGGTTCTGTTATTTTTTGACTCCTGCATACTAACAGGTTTATTAAGTTTATTTTCTCTGTAAACCAACATTCTGTGCTTAGAGACAGTAATACCACTAAGTACAAGATGCTGGGGTGTTGTCTTCATGACGTGCATGTCAACTTTCCAGAGGCAGGTAGGGTTGCCAGACTGGTTTGGGTAACTCCTGGAGATTTGGGGGCTTGATTCTGAAGAGGGAACTCAGTGGGAGTACAATGCCACAGGATCCAGCCTCTAAAGCAGGCATTTCCTCCAGGGAAACTGATCTATGTCATCTGGAGATCAGCTAATTCCAGGAGATCTTCAGGGCCCACCTGGAGGTTGGTAACGCTGAACTAAAATGCTGGGCTAATCAACAAACCGGAGTACTTTTAAACTACTTCTAGCAATTTACGGGTTTTTTGTTTTTTTTTAAAGTAAGTGTTAGGATTCGAATCTGAGCTCATACTCCTAATTACCGGTGCGGGAAGGAAGGAGACTGCTTTAATTAGCCAGGGGCTAGGATAGAATGCACTCTGCTCATGCTCAGAGTCAGCGCCAAAAGAAAGCTGACTTTACATGTGGCTGTGAAACACAGGCACGCACGAAGCTCAGGGGGCCGAACAGAAGTCGGCTTTAACACCCCCCCCCCCGTTGAATGCTGCTGTGGAAGACACGCTCTGGCGCCGCCGCTGCTCATGAACAGGGAAGAAGAAGACCTAGCAGCAGGGTGGAGAGACCTGCCGGCTGCCGAGGCGCGGGTCTTTTCCTGCCGCCCTCCCTGCAAGAAAGAAGAGAGGGAGAGGAAAAAGGCAGCCGGGCAAAGACGCGGTTAACGTACTGACCTTCATCGCGGGAGGCTGGAGGCAGCTTCCAAGCAGCCGACGCAGAGGCGAAGCAGAAGCAGGCGGCCGTCGGTCCCCTCGCGCGCAAGAGACTTCGGAACTTGGACCGGCTCTGGCAGCAGCGCCGAGTTAAAGATTAGCCAGTCTCCAAGGAGGAAACCGGGGGGCAAAAAATAAAAAAAATAAATAAAAGAATGCCCCGGGGCTGCCCCCCTGCCCGGGCAAAGGAGGCGCGGAGACAGGAGCGGTGCGCGACAGCCAGGAGGAGGAGGAGGAGGAGGAGCCAGGATAGGCGAAGGTGTCAGGAAACAGCGGCAGGGGCGTGGAGGGGAAAGGCGGGAAAATGGAGGGGGGCAGTAGGCGCTCTCCAGTCGGTGGGCAGCGAGCGAGGGGCCACGGCTGGCCTGAGGTGGAGAGGAACGTGCCCAGGAAGGGGCGTGCGAGGGCGGTGGAGCTTGGGCGTGGCCCGAGGGCAGAAGACTCTCCAGGGTGGGCGCGACGTGAAGAGAAAGGTCCCCACCCAAGTGCCCGCAGCAGGTTATAAATAGGCTCGTGCTTCCCGTTTCTCTTTCAAAAAAGAAAGAAAAGGGGGGGGGGGGGGGGGTGTCTGGCAACTCACGCGGTGCGTAGGCTTGTCTATCTGGGCTCTTAAGTCCGGGAGGGATGGCAAAAATCCAGCTGTGTTCTTCCCGTGGGAGTTCTGTGGAGCTCAAAGGGGCTCACTGCCATGTGTAATGTTATGTAGGGTTGCGGCAGTCTCCAATGCATGGCTCGTCGCTTTTGCCCGGCCTTTGGGAGCCAGGTGGACTGGAAAGCACATCCATTTTGGGTGCCATCCTCCAGGTCAGGCCTGGCGATCCCCTGGAATTACAACTGATCTCCAGACGACAGAGATCAGCTCCCCTGGAGAACATCGCAGCTTCAGCGGGTGGACTCTACGGCATCGCATCCCTACTGAATTTCCTCCCCAAACTCCACCCTCCCCAATCTCCTCCCCCCAGAAAAAAGAAGTCTTCAGGAATTTCTCAACCTGGGGTTGGTCACTTTAACTACCATACACACGTTATGAAGTACTGGAAAGGTAGGATGTGATTCTCAAGTGTCTTGCATCGCCAGGCCAGATTAAAATAGCCCAGGAAGAGCGCTGGTGTGGTGGTGTAGTTAGATAGGGTTGCCAACCTCCAGGAAGGGCATGGCATTACAACTTCTCTCCAGACTCAAGAGGCCCCTCCCAACTGTGCCCAGGCTCCAATCCCAAAATCTCCAGGAATTTCCCAACCCAGAGTTGACAAGTCTAATGAGAAGAGAATGATATGAGCTGCTTTGGATCCCCATGTTGGAGAAAGATGCAGTATGCAATTTAATTCAGGATCACACATTCCCCGGCGCCATTTTCCAAAGCTGAATCTGCCCTGATGGAGGCCCTGTTTGACCCCTGAGGGCTCCATGCATACTGATGGGGTACACACCCATTTCCTCAGTGGGGCGAATAGCACCCCCCAGGACTATTTCAGGTCAGGAAAGTGAAGTGGGGGAGGAAGATGTAAGCCTTGCATGCCATGGGCCCAATCTTAACCTACACCCCTGCACACCTAGGAATTGAGTTTCAAGTGAGGAATTTGCAAGTGCATGTGTGAGTAACAGTCCTTCTTGGAAACTCTGAAAATACAAAACACAAATTTTGTATGACTTGCAAAGAATCCCATCTGAAGCCTAACCAAACTTGAATGGACTGAGAAGGATATAACTGTGCTTGAGATGGTAGTGTGAGTGTTGTTTCCTTACAGGAGTAAACACTCTATGAATGTTAAAGGCAAGACACAAGCAGTATTTATTTTACTTTGGCTGTGTTCATACGAGCCGTTTTGGGCCGGGAGAGGGACGCATCGGGGCCGCAGCAAACGGGCGCGATCCCACAGCAACATCTGGGAATCGTGCTGCGCCTGTTCCCAGCCCGTCCCTAATCCACCCCTACCGGCCAAAACCTAGGTGGTTCTTTACGAAAGGCCGCATCACTGCCGGCCGTGGGATCGCCGGCGCATCCCCGGCCGTACTGCTCAGTTCGGCAGCCTCCCCCTCCCATTCGTCTCTTCCTCCCCGGCATCTGATCGTGCCGGGGAGCAACAGTGCCGCGGCTCAGGGGATCGTGGGATCCCGCCGCGGCATCTCTTTTTTGGTGCGACTTTTAAAAGCCGCACTTTACCCTGTGTTTTCCCTGCCATGTGGCAGGGTCCTCAATTTACTTTATTTATATCCCATTTTTCTCCCTAGTGGGAACCTAAAGCAGCTCATACTGTTTTTCTTTCGTCCACTTCATCCTAATAACAATCCTGTGAGGTAGATTAGGCTGCGAGAGTGTGTGTCTGGCCCAGCCACCCAGCAAGTTTCCATGGCAAAGTGGGGGTTCAAATTTGTGTTTCCCTGATCCTAGTCTGACACTTCACTGTATCATGCTGGTTCTCTCTCAGTAGGATCTTAATGTTCAAAACTCACTTTGTGAAGCTCTTTTTTTTAGAAAATACATTTTAATATTTAAATTCTAACACCTAATTTAGGATTGACCTCAAATAATATACAAAGACTGGCATTATAGCTGGATATTTATGACATTGAAAATGAGCTCTTAAATGACATATTGCCATCATATACACTATAGCATATTAAGTTTTCAGACACAATCCCATTTCAATAATAAATATATCAAAAATATTATATATGTCTACAGTACGCACAGGAAATAACCTCTAATATTGTAGACTCTTACATTTAAAACCTTTATATAGCTCATTTTGAGTGAATAAGGAAACTATCGTAAGCATGTTACTTAGGAGATAGTTCTGTTTATTCAATGGGATTTACTCCTAGGGAAGCATTCTTAGGATTGCAACCCAAATCATTGTCATAAAAATCATAGTATAGTAATGTGAGAGTGTTGGGCTAAGTTCTGGGAGACTCAGGTTTGAATCTCCACTCTGCCAGGGAAGCTCGCTGGGTGGCCCCTCAGCCTACCCTGCTTCACAGGGTCGTAAGGATAAAATGGAGGCAAGGAGAATGACGTAAGCTGCTTTGGGTTCCCATTGCTGAGGTACAAATGAAGTAAAATAAAAATAAACATTTCAATCAGTCCAAAAGTGAAAACATTTCATAGGCAGTTTATTTCTGCTCACCAAAATTTGTTGGAAAAACTGGGGGGGGGGGGGGATCCTGAAGAAAAAAGTTCCTTTTCCTCACAATTCTCTCTCCTTGGCTGCGGTCACACGGAACATTAGCCCCGCTACAGAGATGGAAGATAGGCGGATTTTCCGGGCGCGATCTCACCGGCACATCTGGGAAGCGTAGCGCTCCCATGGGTCACCCGAGGCTTCCTGCCGAATATGCGCGGCAAAAAACTAGTACCTCGGAGGTACTCGTTTCCGGAAACCGCGGGGCAAGGGCGGCGTCTGATTGCGTTTCCAGTGTCATTCGGCGCCCGCCCATGTCCCCTCGCAAAAAGCTTTTTTCCCCCCAAGTCTCCAACAGAGCATGCGCAGACTTCAGTATACAGGGAAAAAACATTTGCCCTGGAGGAAGGCGAAGAGGCGACTGCTTGTCCAACCGTCCCCCGGAGCCGCACAGAAGGCAGCTCAGAGTCGCCCAGAGCGGCGACCCCCCCCCCCTCCGGGGGACCTGCCTTTCGAAGTTGCGCGGTTCCCGGAGAGGTCTCGGCGTCAGGCTCGGTGCGGTACTCGTGTCGGCGTCCGGGTCTTGTTCATGGGGTCGTAGATCCCACCTTCGTCGCCAGTGAAAAGTACTCAGAATGTGGAGTGATTCAGCAAGAGTGATTCAGCAAGAGTACTTTATTAGTTCAGGAACAAGACAAAGAAACCAGCTCGCAGGCCGGTTTATATGCGTTCAGAAAACCCGCCACCAAGCACACCTAAACACACCCCCTACTCCCGATAGGCTATTTACAGTAACCGGGCGACCATTGGTCTCCCGGCTGGGAAGCTGGCCCTTTGATTGGGCCGGCTAGGATCCTATGGATCCTTTGTCTTTCGACTGAAGCTACTGAGGAGTATTGCCTGGTCAGCCCGGGCAAGTCCGGGCATGTCAGGCTGAATGCACTACACGTGGTAATGGCGACAGTACATTACAGTTTCATTGTCAGGACTCAAGCTCCCTCTTCCCCACCCCTTGGCCACGTCCCTTTCTCCCTTCTCCTCCCACCGAGTGCCCTTCTGGGACATGTCGTTCGTTTCAGCCGCTTCTTTGCCGCATGGTTGTGTGATCAGCACCTCCCCCCTATACACGGGACCTTTACGGGACCTCCAGGAGACATCTGCTCGCGCAACCGCACGTTATTTTGCCCCAGGGCTAACAGCTACGCTCCCCCCCCCGCATTTTCCTGCCCGTGTGACCGGAGCCCTTGGCCTTTTTTTCTCTATATAGATAATTCTTCTATATGGAGGTTCTGCTCCTTAGTCCAATGTCTGCAGCCATGAGTCAGCTGCAGCTGTGAAAAGCAAAGTCCCTGCATATACGCTCCAAGGATTACTTTGCACATTCCAGGACTCAAGAAGAAGAAGAAGAGATTGGATTTATACCCCGCCCTTTACTTGGAGTCTCAGAGCGGCTTACAAACTCCTTTCCCTTCCCCTCTCCAGAACAGACACCCTGTGAGGTGGGTGGGGCTGAGAGAACTCTGACACAAACTGCTCTTTTTCAAGGACAGCTGTGCCAGAGCTTGTGACTGACCCAAGGTCACATCAGCAGGTGCAAGTGGAGGAGTGGGGGAATCAAACCCACTTCTCCCAGATTAGAGTCCGTGCACTTAACCACTACACCAAACTGGCTCTCAAGATTGCTTGTAGGAGAATTTGGTAGACTTTTGATAGAATGGAATGCACAAACTGCACATGGGCTCCAATCTTTAATGCTTCTTCACATTAAAAACAAACTCCATATGCATATAAAACTAGTACAGCATAAAGAAAAGTTTTAACCCTTCTCTTTGGAGGGAGTTTTTAACCCAGGGGAACATTCTAAAATGGGACCATCCATTTGCAGTCTGATGTCGTGCATTTGAACACCACTTTAGCATTTTACCACCTTGTTCTCTTGCATGTGTAAATCAGCCCACATTCATCCAAAAGGGCGGTCAAGGCACACCTTCTCCTGCAGTGTAAACAACTAAGAGAGACCATCTGTTAGGTTCCCCAACCACTTATTCTCTCCTTTTATGGATAACAGTGAGCAGGTGAGGTATATATGTCATTTTACCACTGCGAGCCTCTCTTTCTTCCGAAACACTTTCTTCTGTAACACAAATAGCACCATCCTAAGCAGTTGGAACTTTCCCTTGAAGCTAAAACTGAGGCTATTGCACTTTGGACACATGAGAAGACAAAGACA